CAAAAAGCAGCTGGTGATAAGAAGCTTCCTTGGACGTTTACCAAAGTGGATTTGTTTAGGCGGTGGCTGCTCCGTGTTTGTTTTCTAGGATCATGTTCTTGAGCTTTATCAGCGTGAGGGATGATTTTTTAATTCAAAACACTTCACATGCTTATTTCTGAGACATATGGTCCATCTTAACATTTGCAGTTGTGGTCTGTAGATCAGTTGCAAACCAGAGAAGTGGCGTTTCCATTTCCTGACTGGGGGGTTTAGCGTAACGAACCAAGCGCAAATTGGACATTTCAAGTTTGAATGTTCAATTTGAACCATAGTAGGTGCACATCCATTCTGTCATCCGCGTGAGCTATACATTTCAAACACGGTTTCACAGCTTCAACAACATACGGACGCACTACTTCCTTGCTGTGGAAAGTCACCAGGGAAGGTGATGGTCTGAACACTACTGAGCAGAAAGTAGAAAACAAATAAATCTGCTGTCGACCCTTCGTGTCTGCTCCTGGGCCTGAACAGGCTGGTTCTCAAATGGTTACTCTGCACGCCTGACCGCATCCAGGAGCTCTGGCACTCAGAAGCCATTAGAGCAGCAATTTCTCATTAAGCAACAGGATTACTTTATGTCTGGGCAAAATTTTTGTTCTATAGTGGTAAGACATTTTACCGCGACACTACAGTCCAGTTCGTTCATCACCGAAAATATCATCATGTCACTCTGTACTATAATCTATATAGTAACCTGTATTCTGAATACGCAGCTCATTCCCCATCTCAAAAAGGACATAGCTGATCAGGAAAAGGTACATGGAAGCTACAAAGCTATGGGACTGCTTCTGTTGGAGGGATGACTACGACACTTCAACCTGGAAAAAAGACAACCGAAAAGGCTCGACAGATGCCTGTGAAATCACGACCGGCATGGAGAAGGTGGACAAGGATTGCCACTAGTCAACTGGCAGCTGGTCTCATCCCGTACAAGAAGCCCAGGGCATAAAATGAGGCTAACATAAATGTGGCGGCTCCGAACATCAGAAGCTGGGTTGTTTTTTTTTTCCTCACAACCTGTATTTAAGCTGTGGAGCTTATTGCCACAGGATGCTGTAAGCTGCTAAAAGCGTGCCTAGGTTTTAAAAAGTCGCTGGACGAGTTCGTGGAAGTAAAAATCCATTGAGGGTTATTAAAAACAAGACATCATGTCTAGATCAGAAAACCCATGAGCCGTAAATCATTAGATGCTAAAACAGTATTCTGGGAACATACCCCTAACTGCTTGCGTGCTCTCACGAAGTATCTGATTTCATCTACTATTGGGAACAGGGTACTGGCACAGATGAACTTTTGGTCTGACCTGGTCCAGCTTTTCTGGTGCTTTTGTTGCTTTTTTTTTTTCCCCACGCTACAAAAGCCGAAACGCTGCCAGTTAAGCGAGGATTGTATCTGATTTCATCTACTATTGGGAACAGGGTACTGGCACAGATGAACTTTTGGTCTGACCTGGTCCAGCTTTTCTGGCGCTTTTGTTGCTTTTTTTTTTCCCCCCACGCTACAAAAGCCTTAACGCTGCCAGTTCAGCGAGTCTTGTATCCGAGTCTTGTCAGCTCACCTACTACAGGAGCAAACTGCGCAGGGAAGGGCACGCGAACAGGCTGTGCCCTTCCTCCCCTGCCTTCCAGATCTGGCGGGCTGCGCCAAGGAACTGTAAAGCCAGCTGATTTAATCTCCCGGGGATTTGCTGGGAACGAGGGGAATACTGAGAGAGCAACTCCGCGACATTTCCAAATGCCGGGGGTGGCTGAAACCGCTTTCAGATGCCGGTGGTGCTGTATCGGTGTGGACGATCTTCTACACAGTTGTAGGCTCAGGGATGACACCGTGCTTGGGACTGAGACCTTTCGTGTGAAGACAAATTCCACTCAGAAAAGCCCTGGCAATGGGGGTGTTGCACATCATCAGGAAAAGACCTAGGAGACTACAGCTGCGGTCTTCAAAAGTCGACCGACCCTGGCATTAAGTCTCCCTTTATTTCCGTCCGAAGCAGAGTTAAATCAAATCCACAAGGCACTTCCCGAAATTCCACCAAATCTACTTCCAAACGCTTTCTAAATAACCAGAGGCAGAGGATTTCTGCCATGAAATGCTTCAACACCTTATTTGTGAATTAAAATACTTCTAAAAAGATATTCTTGGGGATAAATTTCCCAGTTCTCTTCTTTAGTGGAGTAAGCACAGCATTAAATTACAGGGAAGCTCGACTATTATCTCATAGTTTTCTTTTTTTTATTATAGACTTTTTATCCACATGAATGATAAAGAAACTACAACAGAGTTAAATACCTTTTTTGATAACAGTGATTATATTCTTAATTACACTCAATATTAAATTGTAAAATATTTCCAGAGGAGTACAATCTTAATTCATACAGCAGGCAAAATACCGGAGGAGGAAGGGGTCGAGGGAGAGGGGTGTGAGAAATTCCAGTCTGCTTTTAAAAAGCACTGTGTATGGCTAACGCTGCTCTATCCATCCATCCATCCATCCACCCACCCACCCAAACGTGGTTCTGGCCCATCTGGTAAAACGCGCATTTCTTTCCATAAAACAATCGCTATTCAAAAGCAAAAGATGAACGGGCAGATGTTGTCGGTATTTGTGGCGTTGAAAGGATCGGCAGTTCCTTTCACAGCTTATCTGTACGATTCATCAAAAGCATTTTCTCTATCAGGTTCAGTAGTCCTTCTAAAAACACAAAGACTTAAACTTTGGTACCACCAAAAAAGATCCAGGACAGGCATTTTTCGATTTTTTTTTTGTTTTGTTTTTACTAATAAATGGCTGCTACATTCTATTTTACATGGTTGTCCATGATGCTTTGAGGTCACTTGTCCTTGGGTTCAGAGGAACCTGATTTGTTTGTTCTTTAAATTCCCAAGCCCTTCCATTTTCTCAGTCTTTCTACAAGTCAGGTTTCTGAGTGGTGGGTTATAACTTACAAGGTAACAGCTGCAAAAGATCCTGCGCTTCTGGGAATAAAAAAATTAAAAAAAAAAAAAAAAAAAAGAGAGAGAAAACGTTACCAACACTAAGCCCAAGTTTGAGATTTCTTTACTCACAGAGTCACAACATTTATTTACAATCCTTGAAAAAGGGATACACATAAGTCACCTGCTCCAGAAGCATCCTCTGAGATTTTGCTAGTTAGTATCTGTAGAGTCACGTGGAAATACTCACATTAAAGATGAAGTGCAAACTGCAACTGGCTGAAGTGTGACTAAAACACAACAAGACCTGCTGTGGAAAGGAACACAAAGCCCAACAAGGGTAGCAGAGGATTGCCGAGAAACACAGAGCGTTAATTGAGTGGTTGCTCTGCAAGGCACAGGGTCTTCACCCCCCTGGTGTATTGCGTGGGTATGTATGTGCGTACACGTTTCTTCTTCAGGCAACTCTTTTCCGCTCGGCACATTGAGAATCTGAAATTGCTTCTGAACAATACAGTTGTGATTCTCTGCTTGACTGATTTAGCTTAGCAGTTAAGTAACAACTAATCTTTCAAAAGCACTAGGGCCTACTTAGAGAAATCCCTGTTGTCTGCAGGGATGGTGTGCCACTGGAAACAAAAACAGCGTGAGAAACGCATCCATCCTTCACGCTCTCAGCAAATAAGCAGGAAACGCTGGTAGCTGTGATGCCAGCACCCTCCTTGCAGGGCTTGTCAGCTGATGAAAACCTGGTGCTGGGAACAAACGGTGGCGTTCATCTGATGCTGCCATCCTCAGGCAGACTTTTAATGTAGCTCAGCGCTCTGGACAAGGCGCTCAGGGCAGGACCCGCTGCTTCTCATCTGGGGAGGCATACTGTTTTATTCAGGATATTAATATCACTGAATTCATTTTAAATCAGTGCTCAGATTAACGTAGACTCAACTGGAAAATGCTGACAGTCAGTAAGAAAGTATGCACAAGAGGGCAAAACAGACCAACTTGATGCTTAGACTAATCTCCTTACCTCAGCAGGCAGAGCTCGAGGCCACGGAGACTGGTTATCTGGTTACTCTATGCTTACTCCTAATGTTTGTTTTTTTAAGTATCTGCTTCTTCAATTGCTCAGGCAAACCTCCATCACCTATACTATCAAACCCTTCGCAGACGCCCCAGACTTCCTCTTGAATGCCTCCACTTCGTGCGTTACTGAGGTCTCTACGTTTGAACAGCTCTTTTTTTCTAATCTGCCTACTCCACCTCAGGGATTTTTTTCAGTGAATCCACAAGCCAGATTTTGTGGCATAACACAGTAGCAGGGCTACCGGCTTTCTGCCTCTCTGTCTCTAAGCCCTAATCTTCTCGTTTTACCAGAAAAAAAAAAAAAAAAAAAGAGAATGTCGTTTAAACGTTAAGGCTTTAGCACCCAAAACTGGAATCTCCCAGGCCACTGATGATGGAGATGGTGCTTCTTCTAACTGAATGCTTCTAAAGAACACTCCTGAAAAATGCGGTGTTGGGTTTAGGAAGATCCTGCACATGGGCAACAGGGTAATCGGCGTCTGCGGGATCATCAGGAGACTGAACTACAGAAGACGGTATTGGTGTAGGTCTGTAAAGCTCCCAAAATACACCGTTCTTTCCTGGAGCTGAAGAAGCTCCGTTATGGGCAGAAAAACCCATCCCTACCTGCCCACGTGTGAACTTTGACTGCATTATGAATGCCAAGGCGTTTCCCCTCCTTCCACTGAAGGTACGTGACCTTGATGCCCCTTTCCAGTGCCAGAGAGTAGAAGCACATGCTCAGGCGATTAAGCCTGGATTCACCCAACGGTACCTCCTACCCCAGTGAAGCCTCGTAATTTGTGTGACATGTCACTTGTTATCAGCTTTAGACCGACTTCTAGACCGAAATCGGTAACATCACGCAACAGAATGATTCTCTTAATTCTTGCAGTGCCTGCGAAGAAAAACATGACAGCCGGGCCAGGCAGAGTAAGATTTCTTCTTTCACAAGCTCACCTTTAGCTTTTGCTGAGGTGTGCACCGAGCTTTTCTTTCCTGATCAAGCTTGCTGCATAGGGAATCTACAATGACACAGAAACAAAGCCACTGCTTTATGCCAAGGTTTGGCTAACAAGACATCCAAGCTGGAATCTCTGCAAATGAAAGGTTTTGTTTGCCTCCCTGTATCATTTTAGGAAACAGTGCCTTAAATTAAAGGATTGAACTCGTAAAAACTCCAAGAACGTTGAAGCAGAAATAAAATAAAAATGGCCCAAATTAAAACAACAGATAGATCTTAAAATCCGATGCAAAAGATGTCTTCCGATGTTTTGTTTGTATCAGTTGCTGACAAATATAAAGCCACCACCCATTCTGCTACCTTTGAGACGACAAAAATCAGCTGCCTGTAACAGAGCAGGCAACACACACTGATCTCTGCACAGCCGAAATACAGCAGGTTGGGAGTACGAGACTTCATATACTTATATCACCATAATTAGGAAGTTCATAATAGTTATCTCTGACTTGCACCGATCTGAGGGAAGCCACTGAAGTGGAACAAATAATTAAAGAAAAACAGAGAACATAGGCATATTAGGGAACGCAGTTATATTTAGAAACAAAGTGGGATGATGTGCTCACTGGCTACTGGGAATACAGTACGGGGCTGCTCTTTTTCAACGCTGGGCCTTTAGAACGCAACAAAACTAAATTGCTCTGAGATTTCTCCATAGCTGGGAATCCAAGTGACTACCAATTCACTGTTCTTCAGTGCTGCCTTTTGGAAGGACCGTTGGAGGAATTCAGGTTGGGATCAGAAAATCTATGTCCCTACACTCCCATGTGTTGCTGCACACTGAGGTGACCTGCCTCTGCTGTCAGGCACTCCTGAATATATTCACAAATAACGTCGAATATGTTACTGCAAGCTGACAAATAGGCTGGGCTGAAGTCGGGAGCAAGGCCTTAAGCTGCACAAACACCAAAGGGAGCAGACAGGCAAATGCACTGAGTTCAAGCGACCTGCCCCACACACCTATTAACATACTAGAAGCACGTGAATTTGCATCCATATTCACTGACCATATACCTAACATGCATTCTTGTACATCCCTGTTTTGCTTTTTATTACATTATGCCCACAGCGTGTGAGGACGTTTGCGCGAGTTGTGCTCAGCATGCCTCTGGCCCGCTGTAAAGCGCAGTATTTGCAAAGGCATCGAGAGATGTATCCATCCCTGCCTACCTTAATAAGGAACTGAGCAGGGAGGGCTCAGGATGAGAGGAAAGAAAAGGGCATCTGCAGCTCAGGAACTAACCCTTTCATCTCTCGGGGAAGGAGGTCAATCTGATTGAAAGCAGCAGCACCAGGAAGCAGCAGTGTCTGCAAAGATGAGCTGTCTGGCCGAATGAAAGCAGAAGCCTTTCACGGGGGGCATGCCGCTTCCCCCACTACACAGCCCTGGGAAAAGGGAAACGTGTGCGCAGGAACTGAGAGGATCAAACTACTGATCACCTGAAAAGACCCAGGATCCAGGTGTTTTGTCTGACTACTCTTATAACCCCTACCCTTCACAGAAGCTGAAAGCTATCAGGAAGCTTGCTGCCAGATCCCCCCAAAAAACAGAGCTCTCCACTCCACCAGGTCCTCCAACAGAGCTGCCTTCCAGGGCACGGTGTTTGCGAAGGCTGGAAAACTCCTCTCCGAACTGCAGCAGAGAGGAGCATGTAAAGAAACTGTTTGCCTGATCACCCGTTTGCATGGTTTAGATACAAAAGGGAGCCACAAACAAGCTGCCTGAATAAACACATTTCAGCTGAGACCCGTGATGCTTCACCAACTGCTTTCTTCCTCTCTCCCACTCACAACGGCCAACAGGCAACATCGGTTTGCATGGCCGCCAATTATATAGGACATCTCCCAAGCCGTACTGACCTAGATAATACAACGGGGTACATTCTGTCAGAAAGTAACTGTTCTTAATCCACTTCTCTGCTATATTTGGCACATCAGCGTCTTTTCAGCCTGTGTTGGTTTATCCATCCTCCTGCTAATACATGAAATTGGGAGAGGCGGGTGTCCAACAGGGAAATGACTACTTTCTTCATGAGTTAAATCACCTACAATGTCATCTTCTACTTTTGTCGTTGGAAGAGCATTTGGTAACTCCGGTGCTGCGGTGGAATAGTATTTAGGGCTCTTCATGACAATACAGTCCCCTTTTGCACATCCATGGTGACTGTTGCAATGCAGGATAGGATCGGCATGAAGATCCAATGCGTGGCCCTTACCCAAGTGTGTACACCCCTGCCGGCAATAACAGAAGTGCAGATAGTTGGGTTTTAAGTAGCAAGCAATCTGTTTCTTATGACTAAGTCCACATTAATAGGAAATACATCGCAGTGGGAGCAGATCTGTAGGGTGCAGGAGAAAGACCCGGTGTCCATACTTGCATTTCTCTTGGGGTTTTTCTCTTCAGGCTAGCTCTAGTCTGGCCCTGGGTACTGATCACCAGTTAAGAGCTAGAGCACGCTCCTACGTGCATTCCTGGAACACATCCTCATTTGCTTCATCCAGAAGGAATCCAGTTTGCAAGCTCTGAGTCTGCTCCACAACATGAACCAAAGCGCAGATAAGCGGATAGGATTGGGGATTCATTTCTAAAGCACGTGCCTGATCCCTGCTACACTTGGACATCAAAGCAGCTTCTGTACACCATCCTCTTTTGGAGACTTCACCTTTGCATCCCATCTCTAGGTGGGATACACAATGATATATCACCCTGACTTCTGTTGCTTGAAGAGGGAATCTTCAGTATCCCAAAGCACTATTATCTGATGTGTATCTACAGGTATTTAGTTAAACAATTCTCACTTCCAGAGAGTGGACCTGAGACCTCAGCCCGAACACCGTCCAGCCAAGACAGCCCTTCCAAATGCAAAGCACATTTATGCAGGAAAGGAGACAGATGTGCAGCCGAACTGCCACCGGAAAACTACAGTCTCTGCACACATGGTGCTTCTGGATAGAACGATGCGTGGGATCAAGGAGAAGAAAAAGCACGCACTGAGCTTTTGACAGCTGGAGGAGGAATGGAAGTGCCAACGGCTTGCCCCAGAGGGTGTCTCCCCACTATTGCCTTGTGAAAGTATTTATAGCTGTGTTGGCTGAGTTCAGAGACTCTTCCCTCCCGGGTGGGTAGTGGCACATGCTCAGGGCAGCGCAGAGGTCTGCACCAGATGCAAGGCAACACAGAGTCACGGCTGGAGTATGCAGTCTCTCCCCTACATATTTTTAAGTACTCAAGCACACTAATACAATAGAAAAAAGGATTTTGCAGACAGGCAATAGCAGAAGCTGGCTTGTGACTCTCTGGTACATATGCATCCATTTTTGATCAGAATTTCTGCAGATTCTAAGGGAAAGGAAGCTTTTACTTATGTTTTTAATAACTATTAATTCTACAAGGCATTCCTTTTCTTTAACGTTTGAATTTACTGGAGAAAGAGGCACAGCTCCATCCTATTAACCCAAGGCATACCCAGATGCATTGTCAAGATACAGGTTTCACTCACCTGTCTTAAAAAAGCAGACAGTGGCCAATAAAATTCTGGTGAAAATAGTACTTGTCAACTCACTTTTCTGTACACAATCAGGGACGTGTATGCTACCTTCAGCATCAAAAGGTCATATTCCCAATTTGTACCGCTAAACCTGGAGAGGAACTCCACCAAAAATCAAATGAAGATAACAGAACATATAGAAACAGACCTGCGGTATCATCGCAACTGCTAAAGCACAGAAGAAGACATTAATGAGAAAAAATATAAACATCGCTCTGGTTTGGTGGGGGGCAAGGTAATGAAATCTGCCTTGGAGTCTGCAAGACACAGTAAACACAGAGTTTCAGAAACACTCTTTTACCTGTTATTATCTGGGTGTCAGCGGGCAGGCACTTCAGCACAAGATGCAGCTCAAGAAATCCAAGAGCCATTCTGCTGAACCGATGTTTGCCTCTAACATTCTTGCCAAGGTCAATCAATCTAGCTGGACCACTTTAAGCAGCGGACCAAAACAGAAATCCCAATAAAGCACTGCTATTTCCTGCTTCCACTTTTCGAATATGGAGTGACAGGCATGCAGTGACCAAGGTCTCCGCACACAAAAACGTGGACATTCCTTGTTTATATAATGAATACGTTAGTTGTACAAAGCACCTACTTTCTATATACAACCTAAAATAGGAATTAAACCTACTGGTGCTTTTCTTAATTACAGTAGGACCCAGAGGAACATGATCTCATACCTCTGAAGATCTACCAACGTTACCACATGGCAGATTTTTTCTTCTCTTAAACACTCCTTGTGAACCTTTAAAGATCAGGATGAAAGACGATGCGGAGATAGAAATCAATTTTGCAGGTAGATAGTTCCTGGTTTATTTTATTGTCTGACTCTGAAGAACAGAGTTGATTCAAAGCAGCACTGAGAGTAGAAGGCCACCAAACATCAGCGGAGTTCCAGCTGAATCCAATTCTGAGCTCTGAACATTATTATCAGCCCAAAGTTAGGCTAGTGAGGAGGAATTCAGTTCATGGGAGTATAAATAAATTAAAAAAACCCGAACAAAAACAGACCAACACTTTCCACTTGAGCTGGAACCACAAGGGACTGCCTGAGTAATTCACATTTCTAACATGTCTCAAAGACCTGCTGCCTTTTACCCCTATGTAAAATTAGCGGGGTTGATCACTACCTGACCTTAGTTATCTAAACCACAACGGCAGGGTGACGAATACCACCTTAGCTTTTCCTGATGGACAGGTTACAACTGTGGTCAGCGCTTCCTGGGAACCCACAAACTACTTGTAAGGGACCCCTGAAAGGAAATTGAGAAAAGCTAGCCTGTCTGCAGGAGCTTAAATTTGCTGCTTGGTGTTCTACTTCTCTGTGGCAATGTTTTAGAGGGGTTCACAAAAACATAAAAGGATAAAAATCATCATGCTGGGAATGCTGCTTCTGATCTTTTTCTCCCACCAGGCAGCTAGGAAGAAAGTTCATGCTTTTTAAATTTGATCCACTGACACAGCTGCTCAGAAGAAAATATCAGACAGATACAGAGTCTCAAGCAGGAGCTAACTCAGTACTTTCGTCAGGCTGGCTGGGCTGTCCTGACAGATGGATTCTGGTCACACTGGACAGAAACCAACAACTCTAAAGGCAGGTGAGCTCTTCTGAGGCCGTACCACATGTGGCATGTTAGAACCTACCCCAACCTGCTGGGCAGCCATTTCTTCTCAGTGGCCCTTTCTGTACAGCTTAACAACAGAAGCCAGACGATCCATGCCTGAAGTAAAATACGACCTCCAAGTACATGAGCTGTACTTAGCCAATTTGCGAGACGGCACTTTGAAGGAGGAAGCAGCGAAAAACGCATTCAGTGATTTAAGATCCATTTTCTTGTTAAATCTGACGATCGGTTGCTTCCTGGCACTCGGCCGAGAGCTTGGCACGAACAGGTTGCGATACTTCCTGGTAGCTGCTCCAGACACTTTGACCGACTCCCTTCTTAACAGAAATTGCTGATGGCCGCACAACGTCCCACTGCTCCAGCTACCTACCAAGGCAGGTTATGTCCAAAGAAATCAACATCCATCGCTGAAGCTGTAACGGAACAGGACCCGCCCTCCATTTTCCCAATGACCTGAGCCTTACTCCTGACTTTCAGGAAGCCGTAAAATAATTTTTTTTTCAAAGTCTGGGGCGGACAGAGCATCAAAATAAAAGCCCATTGATTAAACACTGCTTTAACTGAGGCTTTTGATGAAGAATATTAAACCCCCAGCCGCTGCGGGTGTACTGACCGCCGGTGAGCGG